CTGCCTGTCTGGGGGTGGATCACATGGGTGAGGAAACAGCTGCTGTCCCTGCAGGCTGCCCTCAGTAAACCCCAGGATGCTGCCTCAATGGGGCTTGGCTGCTGTGCCTCCTGACCCCCCTTCAGAGGGGAGGCAGGCTGAGCTCTTCTCCCCCAAACCCAGCCTGCACCAGGGCTGCGCCGGGGCCAACTCATACCAGCTCCAGGGCTGCTGAAGACACGGCCTGGAATCCTTCATGCCTCTGCAGCTGAAGTTCAAAGGAACCACAGGTTGCTTGGGAAGACATGGGTATACATCCGTAGCAAGTCCAAGTGGATTCCGTGCCTGGGCAAGAACTCCTGCAAACGCTTACAGCACATATATGTGTCACGGAACCAGCCCAGACTCGTTTGTGCTTCTGACCTCTGAAAGTACCCTTCAGTGCACTTGAGATTTAAAGCATGAATTTTCCAAAAGCAAAATGACAAAGCTCGTTTCTCTTATGATCAGTGTTCCTTCTTGGAGTTCCATTTGTGATTATGCAAATTATTTATTTAAGCATAATCAATACTTGAATCTCCTGGAACCTGATCAAGCCTGGATCCATCCATTAACAAAGACATTACAGGGCCGGCCCGGTGGCGCACTGGAGAGTGCACCGCTTGGGAGCGCAGCAGCACTCCCGCCGAGGGTTTGGATCCCATGTGGAGACCGGTTCCCGCTCACTGGCTGAGCACGGTGCAGGCGCAACACCGAGGGTTGCGATCCCGTTGCCAGTCCCCAGTATGGGCGCGACACCGAGGGTTGCGATCCCATTACCGGTCAGTAAAAAAGACAAAAAAAGGAAAAAAAAAAGAAAAAAGAAAAAACAAAGACATTACATAGTTAAGAGACTGTCCTTTGAATGGAGACAACTATGTCCTTGCTTTCATTAAAAAACATTGCTTTTTACAGAAAATTAAGCATAGCCTATGCTATAATAAAGTAGAACCTACAACTCTAAAAAATGCTTTCCTTCAAACTCCTGTAATTTTTCTCATTATTCTTTCTAAATCAAAGTACATGTACTTTCTCCTCTCTCCTCCCACACAATGCTACATATGGATGGGTCTGTCTCCAATATTTGAGAAACCCAGAGTTCAAGCGTGAAAGGAGGTGCTGGCCCAAGACTCCCACTTGCATCTCTGGCCCTGTGTTACTGGTAGTCTCCCAGCTGCCCCTTGGTCTTCCCATGGCCCTTGTGGCATGACTGGCCTCCCTGAGAACAGATGGGAAAGAGGTCTTCACAGTCTTAGGCAGTTGGGCAGGGAATTCCAGGGTCTCTGAAACCCTGAGCAGGAGAGGGGGTGCAGGCTGTGGGTGGGCACATCCCCTTGGAGCCCTGAAATCCCGCTCTTATGGGGAGGGGCGCAACCAGAGGAGAACTGGAACATGGCCCTCTAAAGAATAGGGTTCAGAGTACAGACCCACGTTGCCCCGGTCCAACAGTGGTGCTGTGTATACTGTATCTATACAATGCCTATGCATATGTTATAGGTGAATACCTTGGTCTGGATGTCCTATCCACACCTGTCCCAAACATATCACTGTCACAGATTTCAAGGACCTAGAGGGCAATAAGTAGGTAGGCTACATTTTCTTTGGATAGCACCAACTTTGTTTATTTAGGCAGAGATTCCTCTTAATGTTGCAGTGCAAGTATGACTATGTCAGCTGCCTGCTGAAATCCTTAAAAGGGCAATAAAGAAATACTTCTAGTCACTGTATGAGCTAGGTTGTGTAATACTGTTGTGTAATAGGCTTTAAATCCCTCTCTTGCACATGTCACCAAGCTTCTCCCCCTCTAGGTAATACCACTCAACTCTCAAACTCAGCACAGGCTTCCCCTCTTCTGGAAGCCTTTGTCAGGCTCTCGGGCCAGGCCAGGTGCCCCTCTTTGGGACTCCCATAGCTCCATCTTCAGTTCTTACCACCTGGTACTGTCACTGTGCCTTGACCATCTGCCTCCCACTAAGGCCACCCAGAGATCTAGCACTGTACCTTAGTCACTCATTTCCATCACCCATCCTGGGAATTAGCATATGGTAAACTCTCACTCAATGCTTCTTGCCTGATCGCCAGCAGCAATTAGAATTCTAGGCAAAGGTGGCTGTGGAGTTGCTTTTACAGCTCCTCACTACCAGGGGCTTTAAATACTATTGAATTCAAGCAAAATACCATTGTAACTCCTGAAAGAGCAAGAGGGTGCTGGCTGGTCAGCTCACTCGATTAGAGGGTGGTACTGATAACACCAAGGTCAAGGGTTCAGATCACCATACTAGCCAGCCTCCAATAAATAAGTAAGACAAATATTTTAGGCTGGCCGATTAGCACAGCCTTATAGTACCAACGTCACGTGTTCAGATTCCCAGATCAGCCAGCTGTGGAAAAAAAAAAAAATATATATATATATATATATATATATATATATATATAGTGGAAGAGTGAGAGGGTCTGAAAATAAATCAAACACCTGAACATGTATCTTTACAGAAATGGAGACCACTGGGGGCATGTAGAAATATCATATAAATTTACTCTGAAGTATTTAAATGTCATTCACTTGTAAAGTCAACCTCAAGCCATATGCCTTATAAAAAAGGAACATTTAAAGATGGCAGTCACTTTTTCAGAAAGAATTTATATGCACATATATATACATGTGTGTTATCACTCTCTGTAGATCTCAAAATCTTACCCTTACTGAAACTGGACTGAGGGTGCTAGTGACACCTATCAGAAGCTATTGATACGTCTGAAATACAGCATACTATATCCATTTTAAACAATGTTAACTACATGCAGCAGATGGGTTACTTCAAGAAAACAGAATGTTATGGAAAAGCAGTTGTCTTTTTAATAAAACCATGTGTGATGTTATTTCCCCTGTCAATCCAGGCCCACTGGTAGACATATTAGACACTGGGCAATAATATCAAAGAAAGTCCAACAGTAAAAAAATATCGAACATTTGCAGAGGTCTGATAACTTTGAAAAACTTACTTAGAGGTATCTATAAAGAGGGGCCAGTATAAGGAAAGTCACCCCCAGTGGAGTGAGTGATTAGTCCAAACTAGAGCAGTCCTCTGAGGGAGCCCTGCCTGCTGCTGTTAAAACACACACTTGGTTCTCCAAGCTCATCTTTAATTTGAAACTCAAAGCAAAACTGGTCTACTTACTGTGCCCTGAATGGACATTTCACTACTACTATCTTTGGTTCTCCAACACCCATTTCCCTGCAAGCCAAGGTCCCTGCCCACCCATGAAGTCTTCACTGACCACCCTGCCAAGCATCTCATCTTTCTCTAAATTCAAAACTTGCCTCTATCACTTGTCTACGCTAATTGCTAAATGAGGCAACTAATCACTGTCAAACATTAGAATTATTAAAAAATATTGGCATCTTTCTAATATCACTGCCTTATATTATTATTTAACCTTTAAATACTTTGCCCTTCCCACCAGATGGGCAGCCTCTTGTAGTGAGGATATGCCTCTTTTCTTTAATTTTCCACATTCGCACAGAGGAAGGCCTTACAATTATATTTTCTGAACACCTTGGGTGGGGGGAGAAGGGACCATTATTTTTAGCAAGATGGTTTGCAAAATTAAATAGCAATTAACAGCTATCCCTTGCCCATTCCCATTCTCAGCAGGGGCTGCCCCCAAAGAAGCTCCATTCCTACTGCTAATAAATAATAATATGAGGCACTTCAAAAGGTTTATGGAAAGATTCTTATCTTCTTTTAATTCTATTTTCTACCTACCCTGGTACTTGCCCCAAGTAAGCCAGGCCTGAGCACTTTTGGGCCTAAAGACTTTGAAGATCACTGCAAGCCCAGACATAAAGCTGGAGGGCCCTTGTAAGGTAGCACTTGCCGTAGAGTCTGTCAAAGTCATTATACATCGGCACACGTACAGAGCCTACCCCAAGGGCACTGAGACTGAAGGAAAATTAATGGGACTGAGTCACGAAAATGTGAAGAAGAAACTCTCACGGTGGCAGAACGAGTTCTGGGCTTTCTCCATGCCTACAGCAGGATCGAGCAAATACTCAGGGAAGATACCTAAAAGGGGGTGGTGCCTCTCACCGCTACTAATGCAATGGGGTCAAACGCCCAAACGTGCCTCAGTCAGAAGGGGTGAACTAGCCTCTTCTGACAGTAGGCCACCGACTGCCTTCTGCAGACAACCTTCTTCCGCCAACGGCTGGCACACTCCGTACTGCTCAAACTTCCAGGAGGGTGGCACCTGGAAGAGCAAGTGACTTAAAAAGAGTCAGGCGAAGCGCGCTCCCACTGCTTGGAAGCGGCTGGCATACAGGTCTAAAATAAAAAGGTCTCTGTCTGCAAACCCCATTTGCTCTCCCGGTAATCCACCCCGCCCCCAGGCCTGCGTGTCCGACCCGTACAGCTGTTTTTAATCCCCACTTTTCTCACTTGGCGTCCCGAGCTCTGGCTGACCAGACGCGGAGCCACTTAGCGTTTCCTCCTCCCCCTGCCAGGGTCTGTCCTCCCTCCGCCGTCTCCTCTTTCTCCGCCTGAGTCCCCGGGGGGGCAGAGTGTGGGAAGAACGAATTTCCGCCCGCTTTGCTCGCTACTCGCCGACTTGGGTCCCTTCCGGACGCAACCGCGCGCCCCCGGGCTGTTCCGCGGGGGCTACGCTCCGGGCCCGGGACGGAGAGCGAGGAGGCGCCGGCTGCGGGGGCCGAGCCGCGGGGTTCAGCCGCCAAGCCGCGCCCCGAGGCGCTCTTGGAACGGCTCCCGCCTGCAGCTGGGGAATCCGCTTGGTGGGGAGAATCCGCGCCAGGCAATCCAGCTCTCCGGACTCCGCTGCAAACAAAACGCGCCAGGTCTTGCTCCCTCCCACCTCCCCCCGCCCCTAGAGGCGCACCCGGAGAAAGAGTTTTCTGCAGAAATGCAACAAGTAGCACCCGGGACTCGCGGAGCGCCCTGCGCCACCTGACTTGGCCAAGCGAAGCCCGCCTGCAGAGACCTGAGCCAGCCACCGGACAAAGGGCGGAGGAGGGGCCGGACGGCGCAGCGAAGTCCGAAAGAGGCCATTTAGCGACTCTGGCCAGGCCAAGGGGAATGCAGAGGAGACACAGGGCCGGCGGGCCAAGAGGACGATCCGGCCGCAACACGCAGGGCGGGCGGCGATGGAGGCTGTCCGCGCCCTGCGCTTCCTGCTCGTCGTGTGCGGCTGCCTCGCGCTCCCGCCGCGGGCCGAGCCCGTGTGCCCAGAGCGCTGCGACTGCCAGCACCCCCAGCACCTCCTGTGCACCAACAGGGGGCTCCGCGCCGTGCCCAAGATCAGCCCGCTGCCGAGCCCCCAGGACGTGTTCACTTACAGCCTCGGTGGCAACTTCATAACCAACATCACGGCCTTCGACTTCCACCGCCTGGGGCAGCTCAGACGGCTGGACCTGCAGTACAACCAGATCCGCTCCGTGCACCCCAAGACCTTCGAGAAACTCTCGCGGCTGGAGGAGCTCTACCTGGGGAACAACCTCTTGCAGGCCCTCGCCCCAGGCACGCTGGCCCCGCTGCGCAAGCTGCGCATCCTCTACGCCAATGGCAACGAGATCGGCCGCCTAAGCCGCGGCTCCTTCGAGGGCCTGGAGAGTCTGGTCAAGCTGCGGCTGGACGGGAACGCCCTGGCGGCGCTGCCGGACGCTGTCTTCGCCCCCTTGGGCAACCTGCTCTACCTACATCTGGAATCCAACCGGATCCGCTTTCTGGGCAAGAACGCCTTCGCCCAGCTGGGCAAGCTGCGCTTCCTCAACCTCTCTGCCAACGAGCTGCAGCCCTCCCTGCGACACCCGGCCACCTTCGCCCCGCTGCGCTCCCTCTCCACCCTCATCCTTTCGGCCAACAGCTTGCAGCAGCTGGGGCCGCGCGTCTTCCAGCACCTGCCGCGCCTCGGCCTGCTCTCGCTCAGGGGCAACCAGCTTACTCACCTCGCGCCAGAGGCCTTTTGGGGGTTAGAGGCCTTGCGCGAGCTGCGTCTGGAGGGCAACCGGCTGAGCCAGCTGCCCGCGGTGTTGCTGGAGCCTCTTCACAGCCTGGAGGCGCTGGACCTGAGCGGCAACGAACTGTCCGCTCTGCACCCCGCCACCTTTGGCCACCTGGGCCGACTGCGCGAGCTCAGTCTGCGTGACAATGCGCTCAGCGCCCTCTCCGGGGACATTTTCGCCGCCAGCCCGGCCCTCTATCGGCTGGATCTAGATGGCAACGGCTGGACCTGCGACTGCCGGCTGCGGGGCCTGAAGCGCTGGATGGGCGACTGGCACTCGCAGGGCCGGCTCCTCACCGTCTTCGTGCAGTGTCGCCACCCTCCGGCCCTGCGGGGCAAGTACCTGGATTACCTGGATGACCAGCAGCTGCAGAACGGGTCTTGCGCGGATCCCTCGTCCTCGCCTTCCCCTACCGCCAACAGCAGGCGCTGGCCCCTACCCACAGCCGCGGGAGAAGAGATGACGCCCCCTGCAGGTGGGATTGCGGAGGAGCTACCGCCGCAGCCGCAGCCGCAGCAGCGGAGGCGATTTCTAGCTGGGGTGGCCTGGGATGGGGCCGCCAGGGAGCTCGTGAGCAACCGCAGCGCCCTAAGGCTGAGCAGGCGGGGCCCAGGCCTCCAGCAGCCGGGCCCCTCCGTCGCTGCTGCAGTGGGCCCAGCTCCACATCCCCTGGACTTGCAGGAGAATCCGGAGCGGGGACGTCCGACCCAGGGCAATCCCGCCCATGGGGAGCCTGTGCAACCTGACGGTGGAGGCGGTGGGCGCCGATAGCGCCTCGGTGCGCTGGGCCGTGCGCGAGCACCGCAGCCCCCGGCCTCTGGGCGGCGCGCGCTTCCGCCTGCTCTTCGACCGCTTTGGTCAGCAGCCCAAGTTCCACCGCTTCGTCTACCTGCCTGAGCGCAGCGACTCGGCCACGCTGCGCGAGCTGCGCGGAGACACGCCCTACCTGGTGTGCGTGGAGGGCGTGCTCGGGGGCCGCGTCTGCCCGGTGGCTCCCCGGGACCACTGCGCGGGGCTGGTCACCCTCCCCGAGGCGAGCAGCCGGGGCGGCGTCGACTACCAGCTGCTGACCTTGGCCCTGCTGGCAGTCAACGCGCTGCTGGTGCTCCTGGCCTTGGCGGCGTGGGCGTCTCGCTGGCTGCGGAGGAAGCTGCGGGCCCGGCGGAAGGGCGGGGCCCCGGTCCACGTTCGCCACATGTACTCCACCCGACGGCCCCTGCGCTCCATGGGCACCGGCGTGTCGGCCGACTTCTCGGGATTCCAGTCGCGCCGGCCGCGCACCGCCGTGTGCGCGCTCAGCGAGGCGGACCTCATTGAGTTCCCCTGCGATCGCTTCGTGGACAGCGTGGGCGGCGGCGCGGGCGGCAGCTTGAGGCGGGAGGACCATCTCTTGCAGAGATTTGCCGACTAGGTCCAGAGCGTCCAAGCGTGTGGAGACCGTCTCGTTGGCCTTGAGGAGCCACCTCTCCGTGGGCCCCCCAACCCACCTCAGGGGAAGACCCTGTTTTATCAGACCTTCTTCTTTCCCCCTTCTGTGCACTTGCCGGAGAGGCCAAAGGGGACAGTGGTCCAAATCGGGCACCACCCCCAAATTCCCAGGACTCACTCGTGAAGTAAATGGATGGTACTCGGTGGTCAAGGCCAAGAGTAGGGGGCAAATGCGTGGTGGGATGCAGAGGTGGAAGGCCTTCTTCTCTCGGAGGCCTTGGCACAGCTCTGGGAATAGCTTCTGTAGTACCGCAATGGCTGGCCTCTTTTGGGTAGAAAACGTCTCCAGCATGGCCAGAAAGAGATTTGGATGCATGCTTTTTGTTTGCTCGGTGTCAAACCAGAGGAGTTTTGTTTCTATTTAAGGAAAAAGGAACCTATTACACTACAAAGGAGGCTTGGCAACTGACTGCACTGGCCTGGTGGTCTCTGCCAGGAAAGGCGATGGAAACAGGTGGTAGTTTAACACCCCCACCAAGGAACTCATCTCTGTTGACTGATAGAGCATTCAGAATACCTTAAAGTTAAATAATAGGAGACGCTGGGTTTTTTTCCTTTCTTCTTTTCAACAATGTGAAGAGCTCTGACATTTAACAAACTGACCGATAAACGTGTTGACTGATAGAGCATTCAGAATACCTTAAAGTTAAATAATAGGAGACGCTGGGTTTTTTCCCTTTCTTCTTTTCAACAATGTGAAGAGCTCTGACATTTAACAAACTGACCGATAAACGCAAGGACTATTTTAGTTGGACAGGGCTGTTCAACTATTTTCCTTTTAAAATTAACCGGACAAGAACGTTTGCTGACTTTGAGGATAACTAAGATTACATACTTTCTCAGGAGAAGGCTGCATGCAAGACTTCTCTGTCAGGGTTGCTCCTGTGGCTTTTTGATTTTATTTTTTTAAACCTATATGTGGAAAAGGAAATTTCGATGCCAGATTTGATAAGAGAATGTAATGTCTATGTAACTGATGACCCCCTAGGGAACTCTAGCGTTCCAGTTCACTTACCACATCTCTGACAGTGTGTCTAGATTAGAATAAGTTCGATGTGGTCCTTCTCATGCTGTTTCCAGTGACACAGTTGACTGTGCCCTACTTCTCTTGAGTTGCACAGTTAAGCCATAAAGGTAATTTCCTAATAGGGAAGGGAAGCAAAAAGAGATTGTCAGTAGATAGTGTAGTGTTTGACTACATTAATGTCTGTCTTTTTATGAAACAGTAGAGGGGAAGAAATTATGGAAAACAAATGTGAAAAAAAGTACATCAATGGGTGTCTGTTTCTACTAAAACAAGAAGATTGTTATGAGTACTTAAACCTCACTGTGAAATAATTACGTATTTTGCATATTAATTCCTCCACTACCCAGTGTTTTACTGTGTTATTAAATCTTACATTTTAGTTAATAGTTGCAAATTTCAGTGTTTTTGTTTTAAACTTAGGGTTAGACTCCTTTTTTGTTCAGTTTTTTCAGCTGTTTGGGATACTTTTGTTCCCTGATATTTATGAAGTACATGTTTATCACTAAATGTAGTGGTTTGGTTTACATTAATAATTTTGTGTGTAGTCTACAAATGCAGTCATTAAGAGGGTGTATACTGTGGTTACATTCACTGTGGCTCTGGATTTATTGGCAGTGGAGTACCATGGAGGCCACCACAATGGTGCTGAGGCTAACAGTGAATCTTCTGTTTAGGGCCTTAAGCCCCGGAGGGTCCTGATGACTCAGGGAATCCATCACAATCCAGGGGTCATTGAACCCCAGTTCACTCCCTTTATGTTTGGCCTAAATTGAGCCAGGCCTGCCCTTGTCCGAACAGCTGAGTAGGGACCCAGGGATCTAAATGAGCTGATCGTTGTTTATGTTCGGATGAGTAAATGTCCAGACCACTTAAACTACAGCTGCTTTTCTGGCAGTCTTATCTGCAGGGCCAAAACTTAATAAACCACAGGAAATAGACTGTCATTCTTAGTTTGCGGCCAAGGCTTGTTTTAGATTCAGAGCATATTGGTTGGTATATGGGAGAGGTGGAGTTGTTGGCTCTTATTTTCAACTAGAAGGGGCTATCTGGCATCTTTCGTCTTCCTGGCTTTTTGTATTCATAGAGTAGTTGCATCTCCTAACTTTTTCTTTTGCAAAGCAGTGTAATATTGAGTCCCATTGAAAGTCTGGAAAAGGCCTCTGATTCCACCTGTCACTCAACTTTTCAAACTGCAGAACATCACTGAAAATGCTTAATGCCAGGATCTATGTTCTACTTAAAACAGTTTCACTGGAATGTCTTTCCCTGGGAAATGAATAAATGTTATACATTGTTATGTTCAGTTATGTCAATAAACCCATTTACTATAGAGATGTTTTATTGTTGCAGTTTCCAAATATTTTATACATTTTCATAATGATACAATGCATTTGTCTTTTATTTATTTATTTTTAATTTTATCAATATACAATGTAATTGATTTTTGTCTCTTTACCAATTCTCCTCCTTTTCCCCCTCCCTCTTCCTTTCCCCTCCCCCATCAACATCATATCTGTTCACTTGTCTTAAGTTGATACAATGCATTTTTCTACAACAGTTTTCATCCACAAAAATGAAACATAAGTTTGATGTCTTTCTGTCCTCTTTCAATGTTTTTTTTAAATTTCCAGTTCCAAAGTAGAGAATGGACTTTATTTTTTTAGTTTTTTTAATTTTTGGACTTTATTTTTAAGAAGTGGTTTTGTGACTTTATGCCCAAAGAAATGATGAGATGGCTCTAAAAGCAGATGGTCAGCCGCAGTGTGAAAATGCTTGCACATAAGTGGCAGTGAGGTGACTGGATCTCAGCAGACATGTCTTGTTTAAAGAGAACAATTAAAAGTCAAGCCCTTTGACTCTCATGATTGATAAGAAGGAATTATTCAGAGTTGAAGGTAATTGTTGCCATTACAGTTGATGAAAAGATGAAATTCCTAAAGAAAAAAGAACAAACCTGTATGAGTTAGGAGTATTCAGTTAAAGAGCCATTGAGCAGTCTGGAATGTGGTGGGACCCTCAGCCCAAACAGTGCAATTACTGTTTTCATAAGGCAGAGAATTTTGTGGTGCTGCTAGGTAATAAATAAGCATGTGACCAGAACACCTTCACCAATCTGCGATGCACCAGATTTTCACCAAAAGTACAGCAACGTGGGCAGCTACTGTATGTTAAACCATTAAAATACACACTGGATAACCTGGTATTTGTAGTTAACCACTCTCCCTCATCTTTTAAGACATGGAGATAAATAACAATAAAGCATTCTAGTGCCAAAAATTTATTCAAAATTCCAGACCATGGCCCAGCATCAATAATACCTTCACCATCCTCAGAGAATTATACCATCATGGAAATTTGGAATGATGATAAAGACATATGCAGCTGCTTTGTCATCATAAGTTTGCATTCATTCTTTTTACCTAATCTCTCTGTGCCTCAGCTTCCACACCAGTTGAAATGGGCATACTGAGAGTCCTGAGTGCATGGTGCTGGTGTGAGGGGTAAATGAGTTAACAGCACTCAGCAGCACCGGTTACACAGCAGATGTCCAGTAAACGTTAGATGTGTTAGCAGTGGAGTTCTCCTGCACACAGGGCAGCAGGTTGCATGATACATTTTAGAATTTTCAGGGACAAGTTATTTCTGTTTAAGCCCTAACCAATGAGAGAATTCAGATAATGAGATTATGGCAACCCTATCCGTCCCCTTGTTCTGGCTGATTGTGGCTTCTATAATTTGGTGTGAAAGGATAGCTCTTAATACTTTCTCATGATTAACAACAACAAAAATAAATATACTAGTATTTGGCAAACTTTTCTGTGTTTATTAATTATTAATTTTTGACATAAGTTAATTTATCCTTTAGATTGGAACTAAGAATACATTAATGGTCTTCTATAGTGTCTGTCCTTCCCATTAATTTATTGATATAATCTCTAAGTTTCCTTTTAGTTTACTTAAAAGGATACTTTTCATGCACAAATGCTTTTTTTCCTGTGGATTTCAGGTTACTTCATCCTTCTCAATCATTTGGAAAATAGTATTCTTTTCATTTTGCATGGGAAGACTGAGGTATTTGGAAATTGTACTTAACTGTAGTAATTACTGACATAATTAGGAAAGAAAATATGTTTTCCTGATACCTGGTTGCTTTATCTCGGGGCAGAGTACCTAAACATCCCATTGCATCTGCTTGAGAGAGTTTGAGCTACAGGTGGTGTGATCTCTAATTGACACAGAAACATGGCTTTATAATTTGGCTGTGAAGTGGTATCAGATGCCTAGCAGAAATAAATTGTTGCACACCAGCATTTCAAGCAACAGCATCTCCTGACTATATAAAGTCATGACATTTCTTTCAAACTGATGAAAGCTTTGTAATGCCACCTCTGTGTCATAGTTAATGCTGAGACAAGGCAGCACTGTCATGTATTAAGACCAGCTGTAGCCATGGAGCAGCTATTCATTTTTCCAAATTACAGTTTCTGATTAAGTAGGGCTTATGTTGCAAGCTGATTTGTGTGTATGCTGAAGTGTGTGGAAACCTACTTTTAATTGTGACTACCACCCTCTTATTCCCCTCTCTCCCAACTGTGGTGCTCTCCTAAGGATTTTTCCTTTAGGAAATTGAAATAATTACAAATAAACACCCTTGTTAGCACCTCTCAGTAGCAATTAACATTTTATGATGTTGCTTGTTTTCAGCCTTAAACGTCCTTATTAACAAAAACCCCTGGTTTCTTTCCTCATACCCTGTCCTCAAACCCAATCTCATTGTGAGTTGTATGTGTTTTTTCTAGTCCATGTTTAAATACAGTTGATTCTTGTTATTCGAGGTTAGTTACCATGAACACTGGATTAGCGAATACTGAATCATTGCTCCTAGTGGAAAGACAGGCTCGAGTTTCTGCACACCTCTGGTCACAACATTTTTGTCAACCTATCAGTACATAACCTTATTTTATGTGTGTATCTGTTTAAATACACCTTACTTAATATACAGTCATCCCTTGATATCTGCAGGGGATTGGTTCTATGACCTCCCTTGGACACCAAAATCTGCAGATGCTCAAGTCCCTATGAAGTCATATAAAATGGCTTAGAATTTGCATACAACCTATGTACATCCTCCTGTATATTTTAAATAATCTCTAGACTACTTATAATACCTAATACAATGTAAATACTAAGCAAGTAGCTGTTACGCTGTATTGTTTCGGGAATACGGACAAGAAAAAAAGTCTGTACATATTCAGTACAGATGCAACTTTTTCCCCAAATATTTTCCATCTGTGCTTGGCTGAATCCATGGATGTGGAACCCTTGAATAGAGAGGGATGACTGTGTATCATTGATTCATCAACATTGAACTCATGGCCAATAGCATTATAACTCATTCCTGAATAAAGCTTATCTAACACATATTTTCTCCATAGGACATATCACAGCCTTCCTGCACTTAGGGACAGTAGGCAGCACTTCAGCACCATGCTTGGGAGCCCCTTTAAACAGAAAAATCACCAACAAAAACCACAAAAATGTGAAAAACATGGCACTAGATAGA